TGGACTGAAAGGTCCCGGGTTCGATTCCGGCCAAGGGCATTGACCTTGGTGGCGGGCACAACCCCAGTGGGGGGTGTGCAGGAGGCGGCTGAGCGATGTTTCTAACTCTCTACCCCTCTTCCTTCTTCTCTGTGAAAAAATCAGTAAAATATATATTTTTTTAAATGTATTTTTTTTTTTAAAAGAAAATTATAACTAAATAAAGTTAAGGGCCAGTTCATCGGAGCGTGGCCTGGACGGGTGACGCCTGCTGCTGTCCCTTTGCAATTGTCTTCCTTGATATCAGATTTGATGGGGAATTTATCTATTTTTCTTTCTTAAACTTTAAAACAATTATTTTTTTCATTTATTTCAGAGAGGAAAGGAGAGGGACACAGAGATAGAAACATCAGGAATGAATTGTAAATAACTCACGATCAAAGAAAAACTTACAATAGAAAGTAGAAACTAGAATTAAATCTATATCGTAAAAATTTATATTAAAATAGACAAAAGTGCAACTAAACAGTGAAAGCAGGGTAATCCAACCCTTAAATGCACATTTTAGAAAATAACCAAGGCTGAAAAACTAAGTATCTTAGCATCTGTATAAAACATTGATAATGAGGAATAAATTAAACCTAAAAGAGGTCAAAGGAATAAAAAGAACATGGCAGAATTCCATAATTTTAAAACAAATATGCAGTCTGGCAATAAAAAATATATGTGTTAGAAAAAAGCAGAACAGCCCACAAATGACATAATTGTCTGTATAGAAAATCTGAAATCTCAGGAACTAATATTATACTATGTGGATTTAACAAAATTACTGGATACAAGGTCAAACTCATCGAATCAATTACATTTCTAACGTTGCATATCAAAACAAGCAATTAGAAAATAAAAAATTTGAAGGACACTATTTATAATAAAAAAAATAGGTTACCTGAAATGAAATAAAATGGAAAAAGACGCCCCCTGTCCCAGGACCCCTTGCTGTTCATTAGCCCAATTTTCTGCTGCGCCTCCCGTCCGTTCCGGGTGGGGCCGTGGGGCCGCGGGCTCACCTGTGCGGTGGTGGCCGCTGCCGGCCGGCCGGCGTCATTGTGGGCACAGGCTTCCGGGACCCACCGCACGTGGTAGCCGCTGGGGCCGGGGCCTGCAACGGAGAACAGTTCCGGTCACGTCCCCCGCAGCCCCAGGTTTCTAACTCTCTCTCCCTCGCAATTCCTCTCTGAAAAGAATAAAATAAAACAGCCGAGACCGGTTTGGCTCAATGGATAGAGCGTCGCCTTGGGAACTGAAAGGTCCCGGGTTCGATTCCAGTCAAGGGCATGGACCTTGGTTGCGGGCACATCCCCAGTGGGGGGTGTGCAAGAGGCAGCGGATCGATGACTCTCTCTCATTGATGTTTCTAGCTCTCTATCTCTCTCCCTTCCTCTCTGCACAAAATGAATAAAACATATTAATAAAAAAAAGAATAAAATAAAACAAGGTAAAATAAAAGAAAGTAAAAGTAAAAGAAAAATTAAAATAATAAAATAAAAGAAAATAAAGTAAGAAAATAATAAAATAAAAGATAAATAAAATAAAATAAAATAAGAGTAAAGTGAAGGAAAATAAAATAATAAAATTAAGTTAAATTAAAAGTAAAATAAAATAATAAAAGAAAAGAAAGTAAAAAAAGTTTAAAAAATGAAATAATAAAAGAAAAGAAAACTAAATAAAATAATAAACTGAAATAAAATAAAAGTATATAAACTAAAATAAAAGTAAAGTGAAAGAAAATAATAAAATTAAATTAAAAAGAAAAGAAAAGAAAGTAAAAGAAAATAATAAAATAAAATAAAAGATAAATAAAATAAAATAAACTAAAACTAAAGTGAAAAAAAATAATAAAATTAATTTAAATTAAAAAGAAAAGAAAATAATAAAAGAAAAGAAAGTAAAAAGTTTAAAAAATGAAATAATAAAAGAAAAGAAACTACATACATCATAAACGGAATCAATAACCGTATATAAACTAAACTCACCCGTAACGGCCAGACATCACACATCCACCCCACCGGCTCACTCCATCACTCCCAGCGCACCCCATCCACTACCCTCAACTACCCGTACCGTGCCGGACCCTACCTCATCCACTTCCTTTCCTTCCCCATCCACCTACCACTCTCCCCGCCAACCCCAGTCCAAACAGTTTCCCCCTGCCCTCCTCCCAGCACAGCCCCCTACCCTCCCTCCTACCACTGCCCTCCATCCCCGTCTCTCCGTCCCCTCCACCGTACCGTGCAGGGCCCTCCCCTTCCCTGCCCTTCCCAAGTCAATTAAAAAGTAAAATAAAAGAATCCGTGGAACAGGTATGGCCGGTGAGGATGACAGGAGAAGGGGGCGCTGTGAGGAGCGCAGTCTGACCCTCGGACCCTGACCCGCGGGACCCGGAGCTGCGCCCGGAGCCGCGCGCACCTGCCGTCCTCTTCCAGGACAGCGTGGCCTGCAGCCGGCCGTCCTGCAGGAAGGGGGCGCCGATCTCCGCCCCGGGGGCCGGCCCGCAGCGCTGGGAGGCGGGGGGCTGCGGCCGAGTCTCGCCTTCGTCTCCGCTCCTCCCTGGCGGCTCTTCTGCGACCAAGGACAAGGGTCTGCGTCAGGGGTGGGCAAACGCGGAGTCCCCGGAGCCACACAGCCACCGGACAACGGCTGAGATGTCTTCGGAGACACACACGGCTTAAACATAAAATTCTTCTCATGCCACTTGGAACCATTTGTGCAGATAAAGAGCAAGGGGCCCTGGGACACACTCACCCAGGCCGAAGCCGGACGATTTGTGCTGATAAAGAGCAAGGGGCCCTGAGACACACTCACCCAGGCCGAAGCCGGACGATTTGTGCTGATAAAGAGCAAGGGGCCCTGGGACACACTCACCCAGGCCGAAGCCGGACTATTTGTGCAGATAAAGAGCAAGGGGCCCTGGGACACACTCACCCAGGCCGAAGCCGGACGATTTGTGCTGATAAAAAGCAAGGGGCCCTGGGACACACTCACCCAGGCCGAAGCCGGACGATTTGTGCTGATAAAGAGCAAGGGGCCCTGGGACACACTCACCCAGGCCGAAGCCGGACGATTTGTGCTGATAAAGAGCAAGGGGCCCTGAGACACACTCACCCAGGCCGAAGCCGGACGATTTGTGCTGATAAAGAGCAAGGGGCCCTGAGACACACACTCACCCAGGCCGAAGCCGGACGATTTGTGCTGATAAAGAGCAAGGGGCCCTGAGACACACTCACCCAGGCCGAAGCCGGACGATTTGTGCTGATAAAGAGCAAGGGGCCCTGGGACACACTCACCCAGGCCAAAGCCGGACGATTTGTGCAGATAAAGAGCAAGGGGCCCTGGGACACACTCACCCAGGCCGAAGCCGGACGATTTGTGCTGATAAAGAGCAAGGGGCCCTGGGACACACTCACCCAGGCCGAAGCCGGACGATTTGTGCTGATAAAGAGCAAGGGGCCCTGAGACACACTCACCCAGGCCGAAGCCGGACGATTTGTGCAGATAAAGAGCAAGGGGCCCTGAGACACACTCACCCAGGCCGAAGCCGGACGATTTGTGCTGATAAAGAGCAAGGGGCCCTGAGACACACTCACCCAGGCCGAACGCCTCTTAGGACGATTTGTGCTGATAAAGAGCAAGGGGGCCTGAGACACACTTACCCAGGCCGAAGCCGGACGATTTGTGTTAATAAAGAGCAAGGGGCCATGGGACACACTCACCCAGGCCGAAGCCGGACGATTTGTGCTGATAAAGAGCAAGGGGCCCAGAGACACACTCACCCAGGCCGAAGCCGGACGATTTGTGCTGATAAAGAGCAAGGGGCCCTGGGACACACTCACCCAGGCCGAAGCCGGACGATTTGTGCAGATAAAGAGCAAGGGGCCCTGGGACACACTCACCCAGGCCGAAGCCGGACGATTTGTGCTGATAAAAAGCAAGGGGCCCTGAGACACAGACTCGCCCAGGCAGCGGTGTTTTGGGGAAGAGCCACACTCCAGGGGCCAGAGAGCCGCCTGTGGCTTGCCAGCTGCAGTTTGCCTGTCCCTCTCCATTCCTCTTTGTCAAGAATCAAGAAAAGAAAAGAAAAGAAAAGAAAAGAAAAGAAAAGAAAAGAAAAGAAAAGAAAACAAAAGAAAAGAAAACAAAAGAAAGTAAAAGAAAACAAAAGAAAGTAAAAGAAAACAAAAGTAAAAAAGTAAATTAAGAAAATAAAATGAAATTAAAATAAAATAAAATAAAATAAATTAAATAAGACAATAAAATAAAAGTAAAATAAAATAAAAGTAAAATAATATAAAGTAAAATAATAACATAAAGTAAAATAATAAAATAAATAAAATGAAATAAAATAAAATAAAAGTAAAATAATAAAATAAAATAAAGTAAAAGAAAATAAAGTAAAAGAAAACAAAAGTAAAAAAGTAAACTAAAATAAGAAAAGAAAATAATGAATTAAAATAAATTAAACTGAAATAAAATTAAAATTAAAATAATACAATAAAATAAAAGTAAATAAAAGTAAAATAAAATAAAAGTAAAATAAAATGAAAAAAGAAAATAAATACAATAAAATAAAAGTAAAGTAATATAAAGTAAAATAATAACATAAAGTAAAATAATAAAATAAAAAAAATAAATAAAAAAGTAAAATAATAAAATAAAATAACCAATGGAACAGATATCCCCAGTGAGGTTACCTATGTTATGTGTCAGAAATTATGCTGAATCCGTCCGGCGTGGCTCAGGGAGTGAGCACCAGCCTAGGAACCAGGAGGTCAGGGTTCGACTCCCGGTCAAGGGCGCAGGCCCGGGTTGCAGGCTCCGTCCCCAGTGGGGGGCGTGCAGGAGGCAGCCGGTCCGTGATCCTCTCTCCTCATGGATGTTCCTGTCTCTCCCTCTCCCTTCCTCTCTGACATCAATTAAAAAAAAAAGTGAATCAACCCTAACCGGTGTGGCTCAGTGGATAGAGCGTCGGCCTGCGGACGGAAGGGTCCCGGGTTCGATTCCGGTCAAGGGCATGGACCTTGGTGGCGGGCACATCCCCAGTGGGGGGCGTGCAGGAGGCGGCTGATGGGTGTTTCTCTCTTATCATCGATGTTTCTCTCTCTCCCTCTCTCTTCCTCTCTGTAAAAAAAAATCAATGAAATATACTTTTTAAATTTGGATAACAAAGAGAAGGGGGTTGTGGGGATTTTCTGCAGGCGCTGAGAGGGGTGGGGCTGGGAAAAGGGGACGGGGGGATGGGGGGAGCCGCCCGGCCTGGTGGGGGGGACGGCGGGGAATTTGGGGGGCAGGAGGAGCCAGGAGAAAGCATGCAGGCGCACACTCGGGATGTGTGAGCTTCAATAGCTCAGAGGCCCTTTGGCAGAGCTGAGGAGCAGGAATGCGGCTCAAGGGCCCTCGAACTGAATGTTGGGTGTGATCGGGTGTGTCCTGCACCCCAGCTGCTGCCCTGGCATTCGCCCACCTCTGACGTGTCCCCCTGCAGATGGAGGGAGGCCTCACCGGCCAGGGGCTGGGACCCGTCCCACTCCCTCTCCCCCTAACCACCATCCTGGGACCCAGAGCTGTCCATCAGAGACCCCCCCAGACCCAGGCCCTCGACCCCACACATGTGCTGGGGCAGCACCCAGAACCCAGGGAGGGACCATTTCCTACCAGGTCACAGCGTTATTTTATTTTTTAAAATATAGTTTATGGATTTTTTTTTTTTTTACAGGGAGGAAGGGAGAGGGAGAGAGCGTTAGAGACATCCATCCGCTGCCTCCTGCACGCTCCCCCTGTGCCCGGTGCCCCCGGGCGGCTGCACAGGGACACACACTCTCTGTGCCCCCGGGCGGCTGCACAGGGACACACACTCTCTGTGTCCCCGGGCGGCTGCACACGGACACACACTCTCTGTGCCCCCGGGCGGCTGCACAGGACACACACTCTCTGTGCCCGGTGCCCCCGGGCGGCTGCACACGGACACACACTCTCTGTGCCCCCGGGCGGCTGCACAGGGACACACACTCTCTGTGCCTGGAGCCCCCGGGCGGCTGCACACGAACACACACTCTCTGTGCCCCCGGGCGGCTGCACACGGACACACACTCTCTGTGCCCGGTGCCCCCAGGCGGCTGCACACGGACACACACTCTCTGTGCCCCCGGGCGGCTGCACACGGACACACACTCTCTGTGCCCAGTGACCCGGGGCGGCTGCACACGGACACACACTCTCTGTGCCCCCGGGCGTCTGCACACGGACACACACTCTCTGTGCCCAGTGACCCGGGGCGGCTGCACACGGACACACACTCTCTGTGCCCCCGGGCGGCTGCACACGGACACACACTCTCTGTGCCCCCGGGCGGCTGCACACGGACACACTCTCTCTGTGCCCCCGGGCGGCTGCACACAGACACACACTCTCTGTGCCCCCGGGCGGCTGCACAGGGACACACTCTCTGTGTCCGGAGCCCCCGGGCGGCTGCACAGGGACACACACTCTCTGTGCCCCCGGGCGGCTGCACAGGGACACACACTCTCTGTGCCTGGAGCCCCCGGGCGGCTGCACAGGGACACACTCTCTGTGCCCGGTGCCCCCGGGCGGCTGCACACGGACACACACTCTCTGTGCCCGGTGCCCCCAGGCGGCTGCACATGGACACACACTCTCTGTGCCCCCGGGCGGCTGCACAGGGACACACTCTCTGTGCCCGGAGCCCCCGGGCGGCTGCACACGGACACACTCTCTGTTCCCGGAGCCCCCGGGCGGCTGCACAGGGACACACACTCTCTGTGCCCCCGGGCGGCTGCACACGGACACACACTCTCTGTGCCCCCGGGCGGCTGCACACGGACACACACTCTCTGTGCCCGGTGCCCCCGGGCGGCTGCACAGGGACACACACTCTCTGTGCCCCCGGGCGGCTGCACAGGACACACCCTCTCTGTGCCCGGTGCCCGCGGGCGGCTGCACAGGGACACACACTCTCTGTGCCCGGTGCCCCCGGGCGGCTGCACACGGACACACACTCTCTGTGCCCGGTGCCCCCGGGCGGCTGCACACGGACACACACTCTCTGTGCCCCCGGGCGGCTGCACAGGACACACACTCTCTGTGCCCCCGGGTGGCTGCACACGGACACACACTCTCTGTGCCCCCGGGCGGCTGCACACGGACACACACTCTCTGTGCCCCCGGGCGGCTGCACACGGACACACACTCTCTGTGCCCCCGGGCGGCTGCACACGGACACACACTCTCTGTGCCCCCGGGCGGCTGCACACGGACACACACTCTCTGTGCCCCCGGGCGGCTGCACACGGACACACACTCTCTGTGCCCCCGGGCGGCTGCACAGGACACACACTCTCTGTGCCTGGAGCCCCCGGGCGGCTGCACAGGGACACACTCTCTGTGCCTGGAGCCCCCGGGCGGCTGCAAACGGACACACACTCTCTGTGCCCGGTGCCCCCGGGCGGCTGCACAGGACACACACTCTCTGTGCCCGGTGCCCCCGGGCGGCTGCACACGGACACACACTCTCTGTGCCCCCGGGCGGCTGCACAGGACACACACTCTCTGTGCCCGGTGCCCCCGGGCGGCTGCACAGGACACACACTCTCTGTGCCTGGAGCCCCCGGGCGGCTGCACAGGGACACACTCTCTGTGCCTGGAGCCCCCGGGCGGCTGCACAGGACACACACTCTCTGTGCCCGGTGCCCCCGGGCGGCTGCACACGGACACACACTCTCTGTGCCCCCGGGCGGCTGCACAGGACACACACTCTCTGTGCCCGGTGCCCGCGGGCGGCTGCACAGGGACACACACTCTCTGTGCCCGGTGCCCCCGGGCGGCTGCACACGGACACACACTCTCTGTGCCCGGTGCCCCCGGGCGGCTGCACACGGACACACACTCTCTGTGCCCCCGGGCGGCTGCACAGGACACACACTCTCTGTGCCCCCGGGTGGCTGCACACGGACACACACTCTCTGTGCCCCCGGGCGGCTGCACACGGACACACACTCTCTGTGCCCCCGGGCGGCTGCACACGGACACACACTCTCTGTGCCTGGAGCCCCCGGGCGGCTGCACACGGACACACTCTCTGTGCCCGGTGCCCCCGGGCGGCTGCACAGGGACACACTCTCTGTGCCCGGTGCCCCCGGGCGGCTGCACACGGACACACACTCTCTGTGCCCCCGGGCGGCTGCACACGGACACACACTCTCTGTGCCCCCGGGCGGCTGCACAGACACACACTCTCTGTGCCCGGTGCCCCCGGGCGGCTGCACAGACACACACTCTCTGTGCCCGGTGCCCCCGGGCGGCTGCACAGGGACACACTCTCTGTGCCCGGTGCCCCCGGGCGGCTGCACACGGACACACACTCTCTGTGCCCCCGGGCGGCTGCACAGACACACACTCTCTGTGCCTGGAGCCCCCGGGCGGCTGCACAGACACACACTCTCTGTGCCTGGAGCCCCCGGGCGGCTGCACACGGACACACACTCTCTGTGCCCGGTGCCCCCGGGCGGCTGCACACGGACACACTCTCTGTGCCCGGTGCCCCCGGGCGGCTGCACAGGGACACACACTCTCTGTGCCTGGAGCCCCCGGGCGGCTGCACACGGACACACACTCTCTGTGCCTGGAGCCCCCGGGCGGCTGCACACGGACACACACTCTCTGTGCCCCCGGGCGGCTGCACAGGGACACACTCTCTGTGCCCGGTGCCCCCGGGCGGCTGCACAGGGACACACTCTCTGTGCCTGGAGCCCCCGGGCGGCTGCACAGGGACACACTCTCTGTGCCTGGAGCCCCCGGGCGGCTGCACAGGGACACACACTCTCTGTGCCTGGAGCCCCGGGCGGCTGCACAGACACACACTCTCTGTGCCCGGTGCCCCCGGGCGGCTGCACAGACACACACTCTCTGTGCCCGGTGCCCCCGGGCGGCTGCACAGGGACACACACTCTCTGTGCCTGGAGCCCCGGGCGGCTGCACAGACACACACTCTCTGTGCCCGGTGCCCCCGGGCGGCTGCACAGGGACACACACTCTCTGTGCCCGGTGCCCCCGGGCGGCTGCACAGGGACACACACTCTCTGTGCCCGGTGCCCCCGGGCGGCTGCACACGGACACACACTCTCTGTGCCTGGAGCCCGGGCGGCTGCACAGGGACACACTCTCTGTGCCCGGTGCCCCCGGGCGGCTGCACACGGACACACACTCTCTGTGCCCCCGGGCGGCTGCACACGGACACACACTCTCTGTGCCCCCGGGCGGCTGCACACGGACACACACTCTCTGTGCCCCCGGGCGGCTGCACACGGACACACACTCTCTGTGCCCCCGGGCGGCTGCACAGGGACACACACTCTCTGTGCCCCGGCCGGCTGCACACGGACACACACTCTCTGTGCCCCCGGGCGGCTGCACACGGACACACACTCTCTGTGCCCCCGGGCGGCTGCACAGGGACACACTCTCTGTGCCTGGAGCCCGGGCGGCTGCACACGGACACACACTCTCTGTGCCCCCGGAGCGGCTGCACACGGACACACACTCTGTGCCTGGAGCCCCCGGGCGGCTGCACAGGGACATACACTCTCTGTGCCTGGAGCCCCCGGGCGGCTGCACACGGACACACACTCTCTGTGCCTGGAGCCCCCGGGCGGCTGCACAGGACACACACTCTCTGTGCCTGGAGCCCCCGGGCGGCTGCACAGGGACACACACTCTCTGTGCCTGGAGCCCCCGGGCGGCTGCACACGGACACACACTCTCTGTGCCTGGAGCCCCCGGGCGGCTGCACAGGACACACACTCTCTGTGCCTGGAGCCCCCGGGCGGCTGCACAGGGACACACTCTCTGTGCCTGGAGCCCGGGCGGCTGCACAGGGACACACTCTCTGTTCCCCCGGACGGCTGCACAGACACACACTCTCTGTGCCCCCGGGCGGCTGCACACGGACACACACTCTCTGTGCCCCCGGGCGGCTGCACACGGCCACACACTCTCTGTGCCTGGAGCCCGGGCGGCTGCACACGGACACACACTCTCTGTGCCTGGAGCCCGGGCGGCTGCACAGGGACACACACTCTCTGTGCCCGGTGCCCCCGGACGGCTGCACACGGACACACACTCTCTGTGCCTGGAGCCCCCGGGCGGCTGCACACGGACACACACTCTCTGTGCCTGGAGCCCGGGCGGCTGCACAGGGACACACACTCTCTGTGCCCGGTGCCCCCGGGCGGCTGCACAGGGACACACACTCTCTGTGCCCCCGGGCGGCTGCACAGGGACACACACTCTCTGTGCCTGGAGCCCGGGCGGCTGCACAGGGACACACACTCTCTGTGCCCGGTGCCCCCGGGCGGCTGCACAGGGACACACTCTCTGTGCCCCCGGGCGGCTGCACACGGACACACTCTCTGTGCCTGGAGCCCCCGGGCGGCTGCACACGGACACACTCTCTGTGCCCGGTGCCCCCGGGCGGCTGCACAGGGACACACTCTCTGTGCCTGGAGCCCCGGGCGGCTGCACAGACACACACTCTCTGTGCCTGGAGCCCCCGGGCGGCTGCACAGGGACACACTCTCTGTGCCTGGAGCCCGGGCGGCGGACAGGCGGGCGCGGGGCCGAGGGCCGGGGACTCACTGTGGCTGGCGGTGGGGCCGAGGCTGAAACGCAGGGGGACCCGGGGGCTCTTGAGGATCCGCTGGCCCCAGAAGGCCACGGCCTGCAGCTCCACTCGGCCCACGGCAAGCGGCGGCAGGCCCTCCAGCAGCACCGCGGTCTGGGCCTGCGGACAGACGGGCGACGGTCACGGCCAGCCTGCCCCGGGCCCCGCAGGCTCCTCAGCCCAGGAGCTGTCCGAGCTCACCCTGTCTCCCCGGTTCTGATTCTTATTGATTCTTGTTTATTTTTTTAATTACTGCTCACAGACAACTGTCTGAGCTCACCCGTCTTCCTCTGTGTTTTATTTTTATTTTTACTTTTCAATTATTTTTTTAAATATATTTTACTGATTTTTCGCAGAGAGGAAGGGAGAGGGAGAGAGCGTTACAAACATCCATGAAGAGAGAGAAACATCGACCAGCTGCCTCCTGCAGGCCCTCCACTGGGGATGTGCCCGCCACCCAGGTCCATTCCGGTCAAGGAATCGAACCCGGGACCTCTCAGTCCGCAGGCCGACGCTCTATGCACTGGGCCACACCGGTTTGGGCTCATTTTTATTTTTTATTTTTTAACAATTATCATTATTATGTGTGAACTAAAATAATAATACAATAAGATAAATTAAATTAAATAACACCCAAACGGTAACACAACTAAATACCAGTGGTGGCTTCTGGAGACCCAGTTTATCATTGTAAATGGCACAGATGCTCGGCCAGTGTGGCTCAGTGGTTGGGCATCGACCTAGGAACCAGGAGGTCCCTGTCTGATCCCAGGTCTAGGGCACAGGCCAGGCTGCGGGCTCCATCCTGGAGGGGGCGTGCAGGAGGCGGCCGGTCCATGATTCTCTCTCCTCATGGATGTTTCTCTCCCCCCCCCCCTCTCTCTCTCTCTTCCTCTCTCTCTCTCTCTGCTGTAAAAATATATACATGGGGCGGCCGGAGGAGGGTGATCAATGAACGCAGAACCGTCCGGCCGCCCCGTGTCCGTCCTGGAGGATAAAAGGCTCATAGGCACAGGGTCCCCTCGACTGGGAGTCTGACCAGCAGGCAGGCCGGCCGAGCACTCACGTACCCTCCCCCTGGCCAGGCTGGCCATTCAGGCACCGGGCCTCTAAGATAGATAGATAATAGATATAGGTATAAGTATAGATATTTAGTTATAGATATAGATATAGATATAGTTATGGATATGGATATGGATATGGATACATATAGGTATAGGTATAGGTGTAGGTGTAGGTATAGCTATACATATATAGAGATAGAGATAGAGATAGAGATAGAGATAGAGATAGAGATGGATATGGATATGGATATAGTTATAGATATAGATATAGAGATAGCTATAGATATAAGTATAGATATAAGTATAGATATAGGTATAGGTATAGGTATAGGTATAGGTATAGGTATATAGATATAGATATGGATATGGATATGGATATAGATATAGATATAGATATAGATATAGATACTGAGTGGCCAGATTATTATACATTCAGAGACCATCATCCTCTGGCCACTGAGTGTATTTTTTCCGTTTAACCTTTGCTGCTGAAGGAATTAATGGATCCTCTGATTAAGAGGTCCAACCATCTCCTGTTCCTCCCCCCTCCCCCCAGCCTCCCCACCCCAGGGTCTGTGTCCTCGCCAAAGCATCCACGCACACACGTCCCTGGCTGGCCTCTGCCCTCCCCGCTCCGGCCTCCCCTCTGAGGATCAGAAACGGGCCAGGTCCCAGGACCATCACCCCCTCACCCTGTCCATCGCCCCCTCACCCCGTCCATCGCCCCCTCGCCCCATCCATCGCCCCCTCGCCCCGTCCATCTCCCCCTCACCCTGTCCATAGCCCCCTCACCCGGTCCATCGCCCCCTCACCCCGTCCACCGCCCCCTCACCCCGTCCTTCTCCCCCTCACCCCGTCCATCTCCCCCTCGCCCCGTCCATCGTCCCCTCGCCCCGTCCATCTCCCCCTCACCCCATCCATCTCCCCTCATCCCATCCATCTCCCCTCACCCTGTCCATCGCCCCCTCACCCTGTCCATCGCCCCCTCACCCGGTCCATCGCCCCCTCACCCCGTCCATCTCCCCCTCACCCCGTCCATCGCCCCCTCACCCCGTCCATCTCCCCCTCACCCCGTCCATCGCCCCCTCACCCCGTCCATCTCCCCCTCACCCCGTCCATCTCCCCCTCACCCTGTCCATCGCCCCCTCACCCCGTCCATCGCCCCCTCACCCTGTCCATCGCCCCCTCACCCCGTCCATCTCCCCCTCACCCCGTCCATCTCCCCCTCACCCTGTCCATCGCCCCCTCACCCCGTCCATCTCCCCCTCACCCCGTCCATCGCCCCCTCACCCCGTCCATCTCCCCCTCACCCCGTCCATCGCCCCCTCACCCCGTCCATCTCCCCCTCACCCCGTCCATCGCCCCCTCACCCCGTCCATCGCCCCCTCACCCCGTCCATCGCCCCCTCACCCCGTCCATCTCCCCGTCACCCCGTCCATCGCCCCCTCACCCCGTCCATCTCCCCGTCACCCCGTCCATCGCCCCCTCACCCCGTCCATCTCCCCGTCACCCCGTCCATCGCCCCCTCACCCCGTCCATCTCCCCTCACCCCGTCCATCGCCCCCTCACCCCGTCCATCGCCCCCTCACCCCGTCCATCGCCCCCTCACCCCGTCCATCGCCCCCTCACCCCGTCCATCGCCCCCTCACCCCGTCCATCGCCCCCTCACCCCGTCCATCGCCCCCTCACCCCGTCCATCGCCCCCTCACCCCGTCCATCGCCCCCTCACCCCGTCCATCGCCCCCTCACCCGTGCATCGCCCCCTTACCCCGTCTGCCGTCTTCCTGCGCCTCTTCCTGGCGGGCTCGGGGGACCCCCGGGCGGCCCAGCCCCAGGAGACCCTGTAGTGGTGCACGGGCAGGTCCAGCTGCCGGGGCCCGTCCCAGGCCAGGGTGACCGTCACCCGGCCGTCCTCCCCGCGGGTGGCGTTGGCCAGCCGGAGGCCCGAGGGGGCTTCGGGGGCCTCAGGATCTGAAACCGAGGGAGGGGGTGGGCGTGGGACCCCAGCATGCACCACAGGGCACAGGGCACCCCGCTGTCCATACGGTGTCCCCCCAAAGTGTCCACACGCTGGGGACGATGACGAAGGCCGTGTTCGTTAAAACCAGAGGCCCAGGGCGTGACATTCGTGTGCGCGGCCTCTAGTTCTGATTATAATACAAGAGGGCGCAGGCCAGGCCGAGGGGCCCCCCGGGGCAGGATCGGGGCCGGGGAGGGCCGGGGAGGGCCGGGGAGGCGGGCCGGCCGGGGAGGGACCGACAGGGGGCTCCAGGGCGTGTCCGGCCCGTCTTGCTCAGTCCCCATCGGCCGGACCCCAGCAGCAAGCTGACCTGCTGGTCGGAGCGTCTGCCCCCTGGTGGTCAGTGCGCGTCATAGCGAGCAGTTGAGTGGCCTCCTGCACACCTAATGGATGTCCAGGAGGAGGAGGATGTCCAGGATGGAGGACAAGAAAGAGGAGGAGGAGGAGGAGGAGGAGATGGAGGAGGAGATGGAGGAGGAAGAGGAGGAGGAGAAGGAGATGGAGGAGGAGGAGGAGGAGGAGATGGAGGAGAAGGAGGAGGAGGAGGAGGAGGAGGAGGAGATGGAGGAGGAGGAGGAGGAGGAGGAGGAGGAGGAGGAGGAGATGGAGGAGGAGGAGGAGGAGGAGATGGAGGAGGAGGAGGAGGAGATGGAGGAGGAGGAGATGGAGGAGGAGGAGGAGGAGGAGGAGGAGATGGAGGAGGAGGAGGAGATGGAGGAGAAGGAGGAGGAGGAGGAGGAGGAGGAGATGGAGGAGGAGGAGGAGGAGGGGCTGCAGACTCACCCCGGAGGACCGGAAGTGCTTGCTGGGTGACCCCTAGGAGGATGGGGGGGGCAGACTCACCCCGAGAGGACCGGAAGTGCTTGCTGGGGGGCCCCCTGGGAGGATGGGAGTACATTCACCCCGGGAGGACCGGAAGTGCTTGTTGGGGGGCCGCCTAGGGGGATGGGGGTGCAGACTCAACCCGGGAGGACCGGAAGTGCTTGCTGGGGCCCCCTAGGGGGATGGGGTGCACACTCACCTCGGGAGGACCGGAAGTGCTCTCTGGGGGACCGGGAATGGGGGTGCACACTCACCCCGGGAGGACCGGAAGTGCTTGCTGGGGGCCCCCTAGGGGGATGGGGGTGCACACTCACCTCGGGAGGACCGGAAGTGCTCTCTGGGGGACCGGGAATAGGGGTGCACACTCACCCCGGGAGGACCGGAAGTGCTTGCTGGGGGCGGTGAAGCCGCGGGTCCCGTGCACGTTGACGGCCGCCACGCGGAACTGGTACCAGCGCCCCGGCCGGATGTCCGCCAGCTGCGCCCGCTCCTCCGTGGTCTGCGGGTGGGAGGTCACAGGGGTCAGAGGTCAGAGGCTCAGGGACCGTTATCCGCGCGGCTCCCGGGGCCTGTCCTCCGGGTCACGGGGACACTCAGGGTGCAAGTCGGACTGTCCTAGTGCGGCCACAGCGGGCACCCATGGGAGCAGGGAGGGTTCTAGGCCGGATTCTGGGCCAAATTTCCATTTTTTATTTCTATGTTTTTTCGGAAGAGGAAAGAGAAAGACAGAAACATGGATGTGGGAGGGACACGGCGATGGGTGGCCACAGCCAAGGTCGGTGCCCCTGACCGGGAATCGAACCCAGGACCCTTTGGTCAGCGGGCCGGCGCTCTGACCGCTGAGCACCCCTGGCCAGGGTGCTTTTTGTTTGTTTGTTTTTTACAAAACGGGTACAGAATGGAACGAACCCTATCCAGTGAGGGGGCTTTTGAAAAGCACATAAGCCGAAACCCGGGTGGCTCAGTGGATAGAGCGTCGACCTGCGGACTGAAAGGGCCCGGGTTCGATTCCGGCCAAGAGCATGTACAATACATTGGTTGTGGGCACTTCCCCGCTAGGGGGTGTGCAAGAGGCAGCTGATCGATGTCTCTCACTCATCGACGTTTCTAGCTCTCTATCCCTCTCCCTTCCTCTCTGTACAAAATCAATAAAATATATTTTAAAAAAAGAAAGGAAGGAAGGAAGTGGATAGGCCAACCGGTGTGGCTCAGTGGATAGCGCGCCGGCCTGCGGACGGGAGGGTCCCGGGTTCGATTCCGGTCAAGGGCCTGGACCTCGGTGGCGGGCACATCCCCAGTGGGGGCGGGCAGGAGGCGGCGGATGGATGGTTCTCTCTCGTTGATGTTTGTAAGTCTCTGTCCCTCTCCTTCCTCTGTAAATAGATTCTTTAAAAAAGGTTTGAAAAGAAAAGAGAGTGGGTAGTGTTTACCTCGCTGCTCCCCCTCCAGAGCCGCTGGCAGGCGTCTGTCCAGGCCCCGGGCCCCGGGCGGAATAGGAGCGCACACTCACACTGAGGAGACTCGGACATAAACCGCTTCCTGATCGCGTATCGGAACCACACCGGCCCACATAGGCTCTAACCACTGACCCACACCAGCCCACCCAGGCTCTAACCACACCACTGAGCCACACCAGCCCACCCAGGCTCTAACCACTGAGCCACACCAGCCCACCCAGGCTCTAACCACTGAGCCACACCAGCCCACCCAGGCTCTAACCACTGAGCCACACCAGCCCACCCAGGCTCTAACCACTGACCCACACCAGCCCACCCAGGCTCTAACCACTGACCCACACCAGCCCACCCAGGCTCTAACCACTGAGCCACACCGGCCCACCCAGGCTCTAACCACTGACCCACACCAGGCCACCCAGGCTCTAACCACTGAGCCACACCGGCCCACGCAGGCTCTAACCACTGAGCCACACCAGCCCACCCAGGCTCTAACCACTGAGCCACACCGGCCCACCCAGGCTCTAACCACTGAGCCACACCAGCCCACGCAGGCTCTAACCACTGAGCCACACCAGCCCACCCAGGCTCTAACCACTGACCCACACCGGCCCACCCAAGCTCTAACCACTGATCCATACCAGCCCACGCAGGTTCTAACCACTGGACCACACCAGCCCACCCAGGCTCTAACCACTGAACCACACCAGCCCACCCAAGCTCTAACCACTGATCCATACCAGCCCACGCAGGTTCTAACCACTGGGCCACACCAGCCCACCCAGGCTCTAACCACTGAACCACACCGGCCCACCCAGGCTCTAACCACTGAACCACACCGGCCCACGCAGGCTCTAACAACTGAACCACACCGGCCCATATAGGCTCTAACCACTGAGCCACATCGACCCACCCAGGCTCTAACCACTGAGCCACACCGGCCCACACAGGCTCTAACCACTGAGCCACACCGGCCCACCCAAGCTCTAACCACTGAACCACACCGGCCCACGCAGGCTCTAACCACTGAACCACACCGGCCCATATAGGCTCTAACCACTGAGCCACATCGACCCACCCAGGCTCTAACCACTGAGCCACACCGGCCCACCCAGGCTCTAATCATTGAACCACACCGGCCCACCCAGGCTCTAACCACTGAACCACACCGGCCCACCCAGGCTCTAACCACCGAGCCACACCGGCCCACCCAGGCTCTAATCATTGAACCACACCGGCCCACCCAGGCTCTAACCACTGAACCACACCGGCCCACCCAGGCTCTAACCACCGAGCCACACCGGCCCACCCAGGCTCTAATCATTGAACCACACCGGCCCACCCAGGCTCTAACCACTGAACCACACCGGCCCACCCAGGCTCTAACCACCGAGCCACACCAGCCCACGCAGGCTCTAACCACTGAGCCACACCAGCCCACCCAGGCTCTAACCACTGAGCCACACCTACCCACGTAGGCTCTAACCACTGAACCACACCGGCCCCCGTAGGCTCTAACCACTGGGCCACCCCGGCCCACCCAGGCTCTAACCACTGAGCCACACCGGCCCACCCAGGCTCTAACCACTGAGCCACACCAGCCCACGCAGGCTCTAACCACTGAGCCACACCAGCCCACCCAGGCTCTAACCACTGACCCACACCGGCCCACCCAAGCTCTAACCACTGATCCATACCAGCCCACGCAGGTTCTAACCACTGGGCCACACCAGCCCACCCAGGCTCTAACCACTGAACCACACCAGACCACCCAGGCTCTAACCACCGAGCCACACCAGCCCACGTAGGCTCTAACCACTGGGCCACACCAGCCCACCCAGGCTCTAACCACTGAACCACACCGGCCCACCCAGGCTCTAACCACTGAGCCACACCGGCCCACCCAGGCTCTAACCACTGAACCACACCGGCCCACGCAGGCTCTAACAACTGAACCACACCGGCCCATATAGGCTCTAACCACTGAGCCACATCGACCCACCCAGGCTCTAACCACTGAGCCACACCGGCCCACACAGGCTCTAACCACTGAGCCACACCGGCCCACCCAAGCTCTAACCACTGAACCACACCGGCCCACGCAGGCTCTAACCACTGAACCACACCGGCCCATATAGGCTCTAACCACTGAGCCACATCGACCCACCCAGGCTCTAACCACTGAGCCACACCGGCCCACCCAGGCTCTAATCATTGAACCACACCGGCCCACCCAGGCTCTAACCACTGAACCACACCGGCCCACCCAGGCTCTAACCACCGAGCCACACCAGCCCACGCAGGCTCTAACCACTGAGCCACACCAGCCCACCCAGGCTCTAACCACTGAGCCACACCTACCCACGTAGGCTCTAACCACTGAACCACACCGGCCCCCGTAGGCTCTAACCACTGGGCCACCCCGGCCCACCCAGGCTCTAACCACTGAGCCACACCGGCCCACCCAGGCTCTAACCACTGAGCCACACCAGCCCACGCAGGCTCTAACCACTGAGCCACACCAGCCCACCCAGGCTCTAACCACTGGGCCACACCAGCCCACCCAGGCTCTAACCACTGATCCATACCAGCCCACGCAGGTTCTAACCACTGGGCCACACCAGCCCACCCAGGCTCTAATCACTGAACCACACCGGCCCACCCAGGCTCTAACCACTGAACCACACCGGCCCATATAGGCTCTAACCACTGAGCCACATCGACCCACCCAGGCTCTAACCACTGAGCCACACCGGCCCACCCAGGCTCTAATCATTGAACCACACCAGCCCACGCAGGCTCTAACCACCGAGCCACACCAGCCTAACCACTGAGCCACATCGACCCACCCAGGCTCTAACCACCGAGCCACACCAGCCCACGCAGGCTCTAACCACTGAGCCACACCAGCCCACCCAGGCTCTAACCACTGAACCACACCGGCCCACGCAGGCTCTAACCACTGAACCACACCAGCCCACCCAGGCTCTAACCACTGGGCCACACCAGCCCACCCAGGCTCTAACCACTGATCCATACCAGCCCACGCAGGTTCTAACCACTGGGCCACACCAGCCCACCCAGGCTCTAATCACTGAACCACACCGCCCCACCCAGGCTCTAACCACTGAACCACACCGGCCCATTTAGGCTCTAACCACTGAGCCACATCGACCCACCCAGGCTCTAACCACTGAGCCACACCGGCCCACCCAGGCTCTAATCATTGAACCACACCAGCCCACGCAGGCTCTAACCACTGAGCCACACCAGCCCACCCAGGCTCTAACCACTGAGCCACACCTACCCACGTAGGCTCTAACCACTGAACCACACCGGCCCACGCAGGCTCTAACCACTGAACCACACCGGCCCACGCAGGCTCTAACCACTGAACCACACCGGCCCACCCAGGCTCTAACCACTGAGCCACACCGGCCCACCCAGGCTCTAACCACTGAGCCACACCGGCCCACCCAGGCTCTAACCACTGAGCCACACCGGCCCACCCAGGCTCTAACCACTGAGCCACACCAGCTCACGTAGGCTCTAACCACTGATTCACACCGGCCCACGCAGGCTCTAACCACTGAACCACACCGGCCCACGCAGGCTCTAACCACTGAACCACACCGGCCCACCCAGGCTCTAACCACTGAGCCACACCGGCCCACACAGGCTCTAACCATTGAACCACACCAGCCCACATAGGCTCTAACCACTGAGCCACACCGGCCCACACAGGCTCTAACCATTGAACCACACCAGCCCACACAGGCTCTAACCACTGAGCCACACCGGCCCCCCCCCCCCCCCGTAGGCTCTAACCACTGGGCCACCCCGGCCCGCACTCACCTGGGCCACGGTCCGCCAGGGCGTGGCGCCGTCCTCGCTGGGCAGCGGGCCGGCGTTCCAGCGCCCCTGCACCACGT